GCACGTTTCATGTCCGGGCCTTCGCGATCGATCCGTGGAACTATTTTGCCCTTCATGTAATCTGATGCATAAACTTCAGAATTGTCAGCCCAGTATCCATTGCTTGTCTGTTTAACTATGGTACCAGACGATATTGATATAGTCACAAACTTGATGCTCTTATTTATATAAATACTGAAACTTGTTGGCCCTTGCAACGAAAGTCCACGATGAACAGAGCAAAGCCTGACCAGCTGTGGTTCTGTGAGGCTACACACGATACCCATACAAAACACAGTCCACATCGCATCAGCTTGAGTGTACTGCGTCTGTACACTTGCAATACGGTTGCTCACCAGGCAGAGATCATCAATAACCTGCTGCGACAGTATACGCACGTCAGTGTCGCACGTAACACGTCTGACTCTACCAGCCTCATGCGAATGAGACGTATGGTAGCAGCAGATATATCCTACAAAATTATCGTGGTACTGTCTCATTTCAGTGTTTGGTGCCTTTGGCTTCTCACCAGGGCTCATGTCGATACATTCATTGTCGTGTAATGAGCCGATGAGTCCGACGGAAATTGCTGCATTATGTGGGTATAAATACAAGTCACGGTATCCAACAGGATCTCTATACCTGTCAGCTTCCATCGCGGCATGTACAGTACTGGCAGATATCGGCGCGGCATGACTCCGTAGCAGCTTGCCAAGGATACGAGACTCGTCTGGTGTGGCCGTCTCGTTACCGCGTCTCCATGGACTGGTATCATCACCAGAGATCCTGTATTTTACGGTCCCTGGTACTGCCCACAGACGGCCCGACGCGATGGCAGGTCTTAACAAGGCTGCGAGGCTGTCTACCATGTCAGTAAAGCTATCCACTAATTGGATCTTGAAGCAAATTATCTGCCCATGGTTTAAGTGACCTACGATATTGTCAAATCTGTTGAGGCACGGTATCTGACCTGCAGATACAGCTGCGCTTGCCTCTGGAATTGGGTTGTCAACCCACACTATACCATCTGCATCTCTATACTTCACGCAGGCGTTTCGCAGTGTCATGTGAGGTCTAAGCGATACAGCTTCTGTAGCAGCCTCTTCGGCCGGAATAGCAAAGTTTCGAAATCCAGTAGAGTCCATGTTGACAAGATAGTGAATTCTCGCAACATCTTGTTGCAGCAAAACACGCATTGACGTTTTAAAAGTATAGATTAACTGGCAAGTGCATGGCAGTTACGGTCTCTTCAAGCAGATTTACGTACATAGACTGATGTGTCATATGACTCACCTGAAACCATTCGCTGAAACAGTACAAATTCGTTCCAAGCTTCTTCGCATTTAGTGTATACATCACAATCCCGAATGTTCCATGCACTGACAACGAGTGTCAGTTGTGGCCTGTACATACGTATCAGTTCGGAATTTAATTCTATAAACTCATCTTTGAGAGCGGTGGCATACCTCTCTCCGTCACGATGCAAGAAGACCATAACTATTCGCGAGATATCATCGTTGTGAGTTATACATATACCTGAATCAGAACAATATGTTACCCCGCACCATGCTGCTAGAGAGCCGAGGCTATCAGCGAGCTCATTGGCTAGTACGTTGCTGTTGGCAGCAAATGACATCAATGCGTTTACCATATCAGTACCAAACTGGTCTGGCAGTGCCATGATAATAGAAGCCTCGCCAGGTTTATACATGTTATCGACAGTATGGTGAACACCTGCAACACCGTTGCACTGAGTTTTAATACAGCTACAGCGCAGGACGATACCCGTTAGGTCCGTATCTCTTACTGCGTGAACACACGACAGTACCAGCGGGACATGTGTTGGTGCACCCTTTCTGAAATAAACTAAAAGCTGTGTATTTACTGTCACATTCCATATAGATATCTTTGATACTACTGCACTCGTCCCACGTATCCGCAATGAGCGCAGGGCGTTGCTGAAACGACTGTAGAATATGTGTATTCAAACTTTCGAACTCGTCTCTCATGGCAGATGCCTTTGCAAGTCCGTCTTGATGTATAAACGTTATACGCATTTGCGTGTTGGCATCGTTATGTGATACACATATGCCTGACCTTGACACATTATTTTGATCTATACGACACTCGCTGACATAACCAGCGAAAGATATATACAATACAAGCTGTCTTACGATAAGAAGCGGCAACTCATCGGATTGCTCCATATTTACATATGTAAGATAGCGCAACGCGGTTGCGCTAAGACACTATATTAAGTTGTCGCCACGCTATTTGCTCTTAGCAGGATGTTGGAGGATACGTCAGTGGTAAGTTATGATGACGACATCAGGGACCTTCTCGTTGACGGCCTATTTACCCGCGAATGGACCATTGTTGGAACCCAGCCGCCAAGCAGTGATAACGCAGAATCGGGATATTTTAACATGTACTATAAACAAACGTACGATGACGACAATAAACGGAGCCGAAACGCCGCGAGAGAGAAGCCCCTGACGTTAAAGCCTTCACAGCCCGATCCAGTAGAGCTGCTGCCTCCTGTTCCATCGACGCTAGGACCGTATTACAGCTACTTCAGAGATTGCGTACTGACTGGGAGGCACGGCGAGATGCTAGTTAACTTTTGCCGCAATGGAAAGAAATCACCGTGTGTAGACATACCTGGCTGTGCACTTGTAGTACCGACGAAAACTGCTGACGTCGAGAATTTTACATTAATTAAACTAGGCAATGTGCCGTGCGTGCCTGTCGTTCCAACAAGTATCATTTTGAATATTATCGACTCTCTTGCCGAAGTGTGTCAACCTGTATACCCGTCGTTTCATGATGGATGGGCGTACAACGGTTCTAGGGTACGTATGTCAAAGATGTACACAGAATGTGAGCTGGACGACAATGCATGGAAGAAAGAAGGATTTGCAAGAGACTTCTCGCGGCTGGTCAGATGTGTTGCAGTAGCTACTGCAACGTTTACCGTCTCTGTTGTACTTAGTCCGAGCGTTCAGCGAACACGGTATCCGACACACAAGAAGGTGTTGGAAGTTGTTATTCACAATATAAAATAGTATTTGCATTTATTATGTCGTGTTGCAAGCTAGCAGCATTATACAAGGAGTTTGGGATCGGTGTTTGTGAAAGGGCGAAGCATCGCAGATCGCCCAGTAAAGAACAATTTGCAGCGGTTAATGCTCATATTGAACATAAAGAGCTGCCGCTAGTTGGCGATGGGGAAGTTTGCTCGCACAAAAATATTAAGTTTTCTTCATGTGTTAAACCTAGGGCATCAACTGTAGCAACAATTATTGCATTGATTGGCACATATTCTAACGTTGGTAACATCATAGTGTTCGCAGATCAAAGTGAGGTAGACTCCACTCTTGGAGCGCTGTCGCAGATGAGATTATCATTAGGTGTCGGTATCACTATATGTGTTAGTAGCGCCGAGGATAACATGTTTGCCGTTAAGGTGTATGAGAGTAACAGTATGATGCTTATGGCAGAGGATCCTATGTTGACTATGGTATCACAGTACATCAGAAGTGAGATTTCTATGTCATTCTATCTAAGCCAGGAAGCTGTCGTGTATGCTGCAATTCTACAAACAACGAACAGAGCTATGTGGATACTAGAAGAATCGAGTATACTGACAATGACAGGTACTACCGGTACTCGTATGTTACCGCGGTTCTATACTGTTCCATATATCAAATCTAACTTTCGTGTCAACATTGGGCCTGCGGTGACAAATGTTCTGCCGAGACGTGACAGGGCGCAGCTGCAGATGAATTCTATCACTACAGGGGTCCTCAATGCCGTTGCTAAGTCAGGAAAGTGTTACTATTGCGAGTACATGCAGCATATCCACGATGATCTGTGCCCTGACTCTAAGGCGCCGCAGCCGTTTGAGCTAGAGCTGGTAGGCGAGTTCGCAGAGGCGTGAACAGCATCATGCAGCTTTCGCTGCATGCTACACAGCTATAATGGACCGCACAGTAGAACTTTTGCATACACGATGCATCGAGCTACTACCGGATATTGGCCTATATGATAATCTTACCAGTGTTGTTGCACCGCTGACAAGATACATTCTCTCTATGTACTGTGCTCTGCCGATAAAGCACATAATCTTAGCTGAACGTCCTTATGCAACAGACATACACCCGTATGTAGCTTCAGCGATGTCATATGATCCTGCATGCCAACACACGCCAACGCCGTCGGTGCATTACCTTGCCTTGGATCTTAGTAATAAATCTGATATCCTATACGATGATGCTGTGCGTTGGTTTCGCGATAGTTGGCAGTATCTATGCCACGGTGTGATCGCACTAAACGTGTGTACTACACATAAATTCATGGATGGTAGGTCAGAACGTGAGAGATCGAAAATGGAAGAGTTCATACGCGATCTGATACGTGTATCAATTAAGCTCAGTGAGGACAAGATACATGTGTATGCAATGGGAAATCCTGCAAAGCATAGTGCTAGCCGTATTAGGGCAAGCGTCAAGGATGCTGCTTCACGTATAAGGATTCATAAATGTGATAATCCAGCGGCGCTCGAACACAGGCGCAGCGACCACAGGTCGCGCACCTACACGTTACTGAGTGCAAGCATCGTGAAACTCTTATCATCGTTGATTCGTGACACATCCAGAAGCAGGGTCCGCTTAACGTTTAGTGATTTCGACAAGATGGCTGCAGGGCAACCGAACGAGCACTCGCGGCTTGTGAACCGGGGTAACAGCATGGCGGATGTCTTCACTGATATCGAAGCGTACTTTAAGGGATCGGGTAGCGGTAAAATGGTAGAGCGCAACGATGAACTGTTCGGTAGGGCAGCCAAGGAGATGAAAGAGTTTGTACTGGCGCTCCAATCAAATCGTGTGCAGTTGCTGTTCGCTAATCTGAACGAACCTAGTGGAACGTCAAAGCAGGCATATTACAATACTAGGCAGAACTATAACAGACGAGGATTTAATCCCGGTACATCGTCGAAGGCTCCATCTAGTGGAACACCAGGTAGGAAGCAGAAGCTAGGTTTCGCAGATGGTGATGATAACACTGCAGGAACAAGCACACCTGATGAGATAACGAAGAGCGAAGCCGACTCTAGAAGTAATGCTGATGTCAGATCTGTAACGTCGTCTAACGTAACTACTGACAAGAAGCACACGACGTATAGCACGCCTTCACGCGGAGGTCGACTGATTGGCTTCGCTGAGGAAGACGAGGATACCGAGAACGAACGTAAGCCCGCTCAAGTTAGCACCCCGGTAGCAGAGACTACGGCAAACACGGCAATGAGCGACTTGGAGGTGCAAGACATGTCTTACGTCTCCGACTTTATAGAGACCAGTGAGGAGTATATAATGGATCCTGCAATCAGAGAGTTCCTACACGAAGCTGTCAGAAACCGCAAAGCCTCGTCAGACACAGCACTTGAGGTTTTAAAGATTATCAGGGAAACTCGTACGTCACCAAACCAGCGGTCAATCGAAAGTGCGCTCGGGTATGATGATCTAGCCATAGTTGACATGCCTAGTCCTATTATGCAGTGGATTATCTCGCAAGGTAGCTCCTAGGAACGGTTCTCTGGTTTATCGAGCACCTTTCTTGCCGCAGCCAATGGTTTCATGTTATCCCTTAAAATGTACTCTGCATATGCCTTACGCATTGGTATCGACATCATCTTGATGTTATCCATTAAAACCTTACTCGCTTGTACTCTTGTGCTAACGTCAACAAGATTTAGGTACCCTTCGCTCGTCACATACGGCCGCGATATAGACGCTAGTCTGCGTAGACGTACCGGACTGATAAGCCCAGTACACGCTATTAACCGCTGCTTAATCTCCTCCACCAGCGTTACCAGCGTCGGACATTTCGAATTTAACTCTGTCAAATGCTCGACACGTAATGATGGGGCACGACCTATCGTGGACGCAGCTATTATGTCAAGCATCTCTATAGATTCAGTAGAACTTAGTTTGGGAAGTTTGAGCTTTCCTTGGACTGGCGTAACCTGGCTATCAGCTCCTATCACGTGCCGTACTGCCCTGGCCCAGTCTTCCAACTCCATTGCTGCCGCGTCCTGCGCAGCTCCGCTAGTACTCGGCTCATGGCGGGAAACCATCTTATCTAGATGTAATAGCATACAACCTATCATGATCTCAGGCGTTTTTATCCGGTCGCCGCGATAGTAGTATTCTGATGTTGCAGTCGGTG